ACGAAGCCGAGGAAGGTCTTGACGAGCGCGTAGAACTCGTCCTTCTCGGTCGCCGCGACCATGTCCGGCACCGCCCCATCATGAACCGGGATCTTGGTCAGGCGAGACACCTCGACCTTCTCCTCGTTCGGGGCCTACGGGAGGCGCGGCGTGACGGAGCTGTACGGGAGTTGTGGGCGCGTCTCCGATGTGGCGGGTGCGTGTTCGGCGGGCGACCCGGGAAGAGCGGAGGAGGAGGTGCCGACGTGGGTACGTCACGGCTGGCGGGCGAGGGAGGCGACGGCTCGGTGGGCCAGCGGAGGCGACGGGTCTCTCAGCGCTGTCTCAGACGCGCGGCCCGCTCTCTCCCGACCCCCGCACCAGCCCCTCTGCCGAACGCTCGCACCGCTGGCGACCGGGCGGGAGAGGGAGGGGGTGGGCACGCGGGAGGGGGCGCAGAGAGGGGGCGGCGCGGCGCCGGCGGCGCGGCGGAGGCCAGGGCGGCGGCGGTGGAGGCAGAGGCAGAGGCGAAGGCGGAGGCGGAGGCGGAGGCAGCGGTAGGCCTGGCAGTGGCGGAGGCGGCTGGGTCGGCAGGCCGGGCGGCGACTGTGGCGGGCAGTGGTGGTGAGGGTGGCGGCGGGGCGGGCCTTTGCGAAGATGTTTTTCTCTTCTTCGGTCGGCAGCTCCGCGACGGTTGACACCTCCGGCTCGGCCTCGGGAGCCTCGGCCTCCTCCTCGGTGGGCGCGGGCTCCGCCTCCGCCTCGGGCGACGGCTTCTCCGTTGCCACCGGCTCCTCCTCCACCGGCTCCTCAGGCACCGCGCTCGGCTTCGGCTCCTCTGGCTCGACGACTGTCTTCTCGGCCTTTTTTGAGCCGCAATTTCCCATGGCTTGTGGTGGTGGAGGTGACGGCTGCGGGGAGACGAGAAGGGTGTGAGCGGCGCAGTCAGCCGCCGAGAGGGGCACGGGGGGGAGGGAAGCAGCACCTCTGACAAAGCAGGCGGCCCGCTTCGAATCACCCGTACCGGGGTACCGTCGGGTCTCTATTTTAAGATGAGGTGAACAGCAATAGATCCGGCCCTCAAGCGGCCTAATCGATACCCGGCCCTCACGGAATCGGTCCCTCGTTGTACAGCAATCGATCCTTCACACTGCCCGCGCGCTGCCAAACTTGGGGTCGAGAATCGGTCCCCAGGTTACCTGTGGCGCGAAGCTGCGATATGTCTCCCGCCCTCGGCGCGCCGACCGCGCAGCGGCGGCAGACCACCCTTCCTCCGGTTCGAGGGGCGCCTGGGGCTGAGCGGGCTGCCTCCGCCAGAGTTTGGCTCGCCCACCGGCGGGCTGTCACCCTGCCACGGGTCGCAAGCCCTCTGCCGGCCGGAGCGCAGGCTGCTGCGCAGGCTTCCAGCAATTGGTCCCTTGGCAAGTGCGAATCGGTCCCCCTGGCTCCAGGAACTGATCCGGCACTACACCCGGATCTATTGCTGTTTACCTCATCTTAAAATAGAGACCCGACGGTACTCGAGTACGTAGCTGTGAAGATGCCTTCCACAGCACCACAGGCCCTTCCAGGGCTCGCACCTCAACCTTCATA